AAATAAATCAATTGTACTTAACAGTTCTTATCAGGAAGACTAGAAGTATTTATTGATGATATTTTTAATAGGTAACCATGATAGTAAATAATCTCTAAATAATATGTCTGATTGTATGTAACTTGGAAAAATAAGCATTATGAGTAAATAATGAAAATTAAATTTAACTATATCATGAGTTATATAGTATAGAAAAATATATATTGATTCCCTCTAGTTCCAGATGCTAAAACTCACATTAGTGTGCAGAAGATTCTAGAGATAGATTTGGGTCTTCGTATAAACAACCTTAAAAATATTTAGATTGCTTAAAATCAAGATGAACTGCTTCTAGAAGTATTGAGGTACAGTCTCCTAAATCTATTCAAACAAAGCATACCTTTCCATTTCCTAAAGCATTTTCAGAAAAGATCTTTTCCTAATGTTGGAATTGTTGTTGTGTTGTCAAGTCTTTTCCAACTCATAGTAACACTTTATGACAGAAGAGAACTGTACTGTAGGATTTCCTAGGCTGTAATGTTTATGGGAATAAATTGCCAGATCTTGGGCAATCTACTTCTGTAAAAGATATTGCCTTGGAAACCCAAGGAGAGGTCTCTATGAGTTGGAAATGACTCAACGGCAGTGGGTTAGTTTCTCCCTTGGAACAGGGGGTAGGTTCAAACTTCAGTGTTGGAATTAGGCCTAAATAGCTCAAGGAATATGTTTCTTCATGATCTCGATCTATACATGACAGGAGCTTGAAGAGCAATGTACATTGCTATTGGTATCATTTATTATCTATTATACTCACTAGGTATATAACCTCAGGCAATTACTTAACTTACCTAATTTCCAGTTGCTTCATCTATAACATGGAGATATTAGTAGAGTTGGTTAAAGGCAAAATGAGGTAATATGTGTAAACCAGTTAACACACTGCTTGCTCATATGGTAAGCATCTAATACACATTTGCTGTTGTTATTGCTATAGATAACCTGGGAAACATTTCTGTGTCCTTACTATGATCCTTTGATTTTCATAGGACCTCCAGTCTACTGATCTTAAGACATATGTAGTAATGACAAAAATTAAAATTTGTTTACCAAAAATCGGAACATTTTCTTCTTGTCTTGAAATGTCCCTCATATTTTTTTAGCTTATTACTTGAAATTCCTTATTGTTGAAAAAGTAGGAACACTTATTAAACCCAATAACTGCATCAGACTCCTATAAATGTAAAAGGCAACACAGATGATGAACTCTGGCTTACTATAGATTTACAGGAGTGGTGTTTTCATTTAATTTAGTTTTGTTTTGCTTGACCAGCTGCTGAAGATCCCTGAGTGAACACATTAAAAATATTTTACCTTGTGGTGCTGCCAGAGAAGTCATCAGTTTTACAGTCCGAACATGTGTCTTGTGCAATAGATGAATGAGAATCAAATCAATGACATATGACCTGCCTGGTCCTTGCTTGGTCTGCTGTACACTTCTGTTTCATTATGATTTGTCCTCTTGAGACCTTCAGTGCAGCTTTTCTGCAAGCATTGCTTTGGTAAAGGCCTTATTGTTGTTATGAAGTTATCTGCCAAGAACCGATAACTGCTATAAAAATTTAATAAGAACAAGAAATGTCTCTGTATAAATATAACTTACTGTGAGAATCTCCCTCCCCCTACTGGAATAAGTGAGAGAATCAGGGAACAAAGAAAGAAAAGATCATGAGTCTTATGAAGTTGAGTGGGTAGAGCCAGCAGTGACTCACTGAGGTTGTATTGCTTAAACTTCTCTCAACTGAAATCATACTATGGGTCTCACTATTCTGGAGTAACAGTGAGTGCTGGAACCCTGTCCTAAGTGACATGTTCTTAATGTGTTTAAATTATTTCCATATTCAATTTTATTTGCCTACATTCATTTGGTAAAAAAAGAAAACCTGAATTCAAGCAATCCACTTTATGTAAATAAGATCCAAACACTGATACTACTAAATTCACCTTTCTGTATTTTGGGAATGAGATGACAGTTTGTTGTGTTTATAAAAACAGAAAGCAGATGGAAACTCTTGAAAAAACTAGATCTCGGTGAATATTTACATGGAATTTTCATTAAGTACTATTTAAATTTTCCTGTTCAAATTTAGGGTAGCAGACAAAATTATACTAGGTAGAAATTTTAAAATCTAATTAAAAAATTTAAATAATATAAAGAAATAATTTAAATCTAAATGATCTATTTGTCTTTCTTGGACTTACTCCTCAAATGATTTCAAGGACCCCATAAAAATTACTGTCTGGAATATGGATTTACACCTCAACATAAAGAAAACAAAAATCCTCACAACTGGAGCAATAAGCAACATGATGATAAATGGAGACAAGATTGAAGTTGTCAAAGATTTCATATTACTTGGTTCCACAGTTAACACCAAAGGAAGCAGCAGTCAAGAAATCAGGTGATGTATTGCACTAGGCAAATCTGCTTCAAAAGACTCTTTAAAGTGCTAAAGAGCCAAGATGTCTTTCTGAAGACTGCCATCAAGTTGGATCCAACTCAACAACCCCTCCTTGAGTTTCCAAGATGGTAACATGACTGAAGTAGATTGCCCAACCTTCCTTCCGAGGAGTGGCTGG